AACTTATTTCTATCTTTTAAACACACTATTTTGACACACATGAGATATTGGAGAAATTTTCTTATCGGGAAATAAAAACTTGTAATAGCGTAAAATGAACAAAAATAAATCATTTGTGATTAATTAGGGTTTCGATTAATTTTAAAAGAGTATAGCAACGAAACACATTTTACTATTTTAATAGAAAGTATATAGTCTTCTGAAAAAGATTTTGTATTGGTTAGGTCTTAAAAGTAAACTACATTTTGCAAATGGATCTTTTTTAATATCTCTCGCCATTTTTTACTTATCTGTCATAGCGTGACAACATAATTCAGTCGTGAAACTGTGTATTAAATTATTAAATTACATAAATGACTCATAATTTGCCTTTAATCCCCGAAAAAAAGTAAGTAACAAGCATTTTTTTATGCATAAAATATTTAAATTATATTATGTAATTCAAATAATTAAGTTTAAACATATAAGTTTACACAAATTTTTTCAAATCGCCCTCAAAGTGAGAGTTAATTCATTAAGTCAGTTCATGATAATAACGGCTTTGCTCAGTCTTTCTCATTATTTTAATGCACCAGCGACCAGCCCCGGCTTCGCACGGGTACAATGTATTATACATACATAGCATTAAACAAAGTTTTCCCGCTGTCTTTCTGTCCCTACCTACCCTATATAGGTGATCTTTAAAACTACGCAACAGATTTTGATGCGGTTTTCTTTAATATATGTATGATTCAAGAGGAAGGTTTATATGTACAATTCATGCATAATATAGTAGAGATACACTGATAATTTTAGAGGTTTCTAACGCGATGTCGAAAACAAACATTCAGCATTGCACCCGTGCGAAGCCGGGGCGTGTCATTAGTTATACATATAAACCTTCTTATTCAATCACTCTACCTAGTAAAAAAAACCGCATCCAGATACGTTGCGTAGTTTTAAAGATCTAAGCATACATAGGGACAAACAGACAGTGGGACAACTTTGTTTTATACTATGTAGTGATTACTTTTTTACTATTTAGTATAACTAATATTCAATCAGCAATCTTATTGACGACTCTAATGTTTTTATCTTAGACTAGCTGTGCCCGTGACTTCGTCCGCGTGAAATTATATTATTTATGAATAATAATAAATAAAATTTCTAAAATAAAAGTAGCCCTTATTACATCATCTATCTGCCAGTGAAAGTCCCTTCAAAATTGATTCGCCCGTTTCAGAGATTACTCGGAACAGACAGATAGGCAAACAAAAATTGTAAAAAAAAAATAATTTTGCTATATGTACCGTGTATACATCCATATGAATTTAGTAAGCTTATGCTATCTTCCTTCCATTTTCTTTTTGAGTAATTTTTGCAAGATTTAACCGCACAGAACGCAATATTCATTTTTTTTTCGAAGCCAAAAATATGTGTCTATTCCATGCAAACGTATGCAAAACGTACTGACGACGGTTTATTGCAAGTGCGGGCATTTTACTGCATATGAAATTTTGACACCTTTACGTACCGAAGAACGAATCTCTAAGACAAGATTATATAATCAAAGGTTTTAAGGGTTCTGAACCCAAAGGGTAAAACGGTATCCTATTACTAAGACTCCGCTCTCTGTCTGTCTGTCACCGGGCTGTATCTCATGAAGCGTGATATTTGGACAGTTGAAATGTTCACAGATGATGTATTAACAACAAAGACTAAAAAAATATTTAAGTGGGGCTCCCGTACATCATACATGATTTTTTTACCGTTTTTATAGATAATTGTACGGAACCCTTCGTGCGCGACTCCGACTCGCACGTGGCCGGTTTTTATGTTAAGTCTTTACTAAGCCTTAATTGCCACTTTCAGAGCAGCCTGCACGGACGTGCGGCCAGTGCTTCGTGAGGTATTTCGAGACCTCGACGCTCAGCCAGCTCTCACTGATCAGCTAAAACGTGAGCAGTTTCTAAAACAAAACAATACTGTTGAGATCCAGCTTGATGAATGGGTGGGTTTGCGTAAACATTCGTTATTTAATGATATCTCGCTTACGCGAATAGTATAAAAGATATCTAGTCAGTATACACGTAGATGTAATTTAATAAGTATATCGAATATAATTGTTACAGATTCACGAACACTCCGCACAGTGTGAAAAAATTAAAAAGTATGAGGAGGAACTAAAAAATGAATACGCCAAAACACTCGCTCAAAAGGACCATAAAAATCATGTACATGAACACACATCTAAAACCGAAATAATAAACGTCGAAGGGAAGCGTGAGCTTGGGATCATACAAAGACAGGATCTTATGCCGAACATTTTTGAAGACATAAATCGCAAGTGCTTTTAACATTTTAAAATTGACGTATAAATTGTCTATGCCTTTGCCTATGTAGAACGTAGTATGTAAAAGCAACGATTATTTTTGGTCGTGTTTCGTAAGAATCCAACAGGGTTAAAGTAGCCACAGATAAATAATATGTGTAAGCTTTTTAAAGTAACGATAATGATGGAAAGTTTCTATTATAATTTATTTTTGCAGATCAAAAATATCAATGGATGGCAAAAGCTCAATGTGAACATTTGTGTAATTCAGATAGTACTAAAGGGCCATTGCAAAGTTTAAAATCATACGAAGATCCTACTACATCTTCCAAATGTTTTACAATCCAGTCACTGAGCATCAGGTGAGCGGTCCGAGTTTTAATAATAGAACAAATGAAAAGGATCATAGTGTTTTTTTATATGAATAGTATTTTTGATTTAGATTCTCTCTGAAGTCTAAAATCTCACAGAGTTTTCTTGCCTTTACATTAATTCATGTGGTTTCAGTGGTTTAATTTCATGCGCTAAACCTATTTATAATGTAACGGGAAAAGAAAAACTGACTTCTGTTGCAGTAAAAATGTAGATAGAATCTTTGTTTCTAAGCTGTGGGGAGGTTATGCATTCACCCTCTGCACCGCCCACGCAACTTCCCACGGTGCCTCCTTCTCCGCAATACATTGTATGCGACCCAACACATCTTCAATTTACCAACTTCACCATTGGACATTGTCACACGGTAATTATAAAAAAGCATATAACGTTTGATAATACCCATTCGAGGAATCCTATAGAAAAAAATGGTTTTATTTTTTTATGATTCAATAGTTAGTACGGATTAAGTGAGTCATTGTTTATACTTTGTTGTTGCCTTCATTATTTCTTAAATTAATTGAATCTTTTGTGATTACGTGTTTTATGTATTTGGTGTAAAATAATTAGTCAAAATAATAGATCGATCATATAGCAAGTACTTTTTAACTGTATTGATAAACATTTTTTATGTGAGGCAAGCGAGCTGGCGGTTCACCTGATGTTCAGTGATAACTGCCGCCAATGCACAAATGTCCAAATGTCAAAAGTGCAAATGCAAAACAAAAAATTTAATAAAGTGGACCCTACTAGAAGTGAAAGCTACTAGACTCTCCAGACGAAACGCAGCAGGCATAACACTTCCACTTCCAGCCGGCCTTCTGTGAGATCCTGCTACTTACCCGAACGGATCTGCCCATTCTTGCAACAGCCGAAACTTGCGTGGCCCTGCCACTTGGTTATCGCCACACTTTAAAATAAATTTACACTAACAATTATTGACGACCCGAGTGGTGCAGTGGCTAGTGTACCTGCCCTGCGCCAGAGGGTGTGGGTTCGATCTCCACTACTGGAAATTATTGTGTGATGAACATACTGCTTTTCTAGTGTCTGGGGTGTTTATACATGTATAATATTTCTTTATTATATAAAGAAATGTATGTTTAATTATGCTTATCAGTTATCTAGTACCTACAGTACAAGCGTTATTTAGTTTGGGACTAGGGAACTTTGTGTAAAAATGTGTCGTAAAATATTTATTATTATATTTATATGGATACATAAATCCAGAAAGAAATTTGAAAACAATTTTCATTTGAACTATTTACATGATTAGCTAACTGTAGGAGTTTGTAGTAAAAACTGGTATTTACATTTAAAGTGGCTTGCAAATAAAACTGATATTACGTCATACTTTTAGCGTTGGATCCGTTTATTGAACCTTTCGAAATACGAAATCCGCCTCGCGATACAGCCACCGTCTCGATTGGAACTACAAGTGGAGCTGCCGGCCAATAAAGGACTTAAGCTCACATCTGGATCCATGTTGCAGTTACGAGTGCGCTTTAAACCAAGGTTGATCAGACATTTATATGTTATTTCTTTTTGGTTTTTTTTTTGTACAACGGTCTCAAATTATGTCTTCCAGTCCACTCACTTCACACTCGGTTACAAAAGCTACATGTTAATGAAAAAAAAAAACTAAAACCGTTTGGTTTGGTATAAAATCTGTATACGTAACATTATTCAATAGAGTGGCAGCCTCGTGCTGACCATTCCATTATAGGACGACCCCCCATTAGACGAAGTGACGACCTGTGCAAATGTGTAGCTCTGAACGGATTTGAACTCTGGTTGCTTGATATATTGAATTAAAAGTGAGTGCCCGGACAGTGAGCTATCACGGCTTTAATTAGATGGTTACTATTTCAGGGACGTTCGCGCTCTTCAAGACCAACTGTTTGTGCGGACATCGCTAGGTAGACCGGTAACTGTGCCTATAGCATGCTACATGCAGCCACCATTGTTGGACGGTACTCAAATATTCACATATAAAAATACACATATGAATTTGTAGAAATCATGGCGCCATAATGGCTATTTCTAACAACAATTTACTATGTATGTATGAAAGCAGTGTTTAGCTGAAGAATGTGGAATTTATATATATATAATTTATATATATATATCACAATTTTTTGGCTATAAATAATTGCTCTTATCACGGGCTCCGCGGCGAAGGAAAACATCGTGAGGAAACCATATGCATATTTTCGAAATAATAAAAAAAAAAAAAAAAAAATACATTAAAGTATATACAATTCATTACATTTTTATGGAGACATATCACATTAAAATTTATAGAGAAAAGTACGAAATGATTTTCGCCTCTGTGAGAATCGACAGAGACATGTCACATTTCAAATATCTATTTGTGTCAGTGATCGTGCCTAATGGGGAGTGTCCGCTGCCCTTCCCTTCGAGTCGCTTTCTGCCGACCAGCAGCGACGTGCTGGATCTCGGCGCGCGCCTTTTAGGCGAAGCTCACAGAGTGGATCTGCAACTGCAATGCAACGTCCACCACGCCTCATTCTACATGATGACAGAAGAGGCTTGGTGCTCCTTTGTAGTCGATGTGAGATTATTTAAATACATCGTTTTAGAAAGAAAGAAAGACGCGTTTATTCACGGTCTAACCACAATACATACATAGAATAGACGTACATGAAATGGACGGTGAAAATTGAGATACAGAAACTAAAATTGTTCCGATCCCGACACTGGTTTTCAGTCCGGCCCGCACTCCGAGGCAATTTGGAAGACTGCGTACAGTGCACTTGGAATAATAACTACAACGCAAAATAGCGAAACTTAAGTTTAAATGTTCCCATTTATATAGACACTTACATATACTTTAAACTGATGATCGATGACTCCGTGACGCAGCCGCCATGGTATTGGCTTCGCGACACCACAGCACGAAAATATAGATAAAAGACGTTAAGATTTTCGTCGCTGTGGCTATCAGCCGTTTAGCTCAGTGGCTAGAGCGTCAGGCCGCGAATGCTGAAGATGTGGGTTCGATTCCCACAGCGGCGACAATCTTTTCGTACCTTTTCTACATGTTTTAATGTTCAATCTTAAGTGCAGAGATTAGCACTATAAAAAACTTTAAAAAAAAGGGCAATGTTTTTCAAAAACTAACAGAAACAGAACAGAAACTTGCCCAAAGTTAAAAAAAAATTCGGTTTACTGTCCAGGGAGTTTTTAATAATTACGCTGAAGCTCTTTTGAAATCATTTGAGGTATTATTTCTATAATAATTTTGTTAGGGCATCTTTTCATTCTATGAACTAAATCACTACTATTGTCCTGAAGAGACTCATGTTAGTGAGGTTTGTCTTTAGAATTTTCCTATTGCTGTATTAAATAAGTCACGGCAACAAAAATATCTTTTGGACATTCTTATAAGTCATAAAAACTGGTGATCTCAAATGCGAATAACAATTAACGTATTCTAATACGAAACCAAAATACAAAAATATGCACCCTTCTTCTTGCTAAATCAATTAAAATTTCAATAGTTTTTTATTGCAGATTTGATTTTTATTATTGTTTTTATTTAAATTATATATTAATTAAAAAAATAGAGGTACCTAGGTCACTTTTACCGGTGAATGATGAAGAATTATCACGGATTATTAAATTGTTTTACACATCACATCATGCTTAGGTTGTGCTATTTATTACTATACAGCGTCAATGGAAAATGAAATAAGAATGCTATATATATATATATATATATATATATATATACATTTTTTTTTGTTCTGATTCTTCAAAAACATTTTACCTAAACCATGTTTTTATATATTGACAAACTAACTACGCCATTGGTTCGTCTACAAAAAGTAAACAGGTCGTTCATGGGGCAAAGTGTGCGCATGTATAATAATAATCCCACAGTCGATATTAAGCCTGCCACTTGATGAATTTAAACGAAAAATTAAAAGTAATCTTATGGCTAAAGCCTATTATACTATTGCAGAATATCTTGACGACGCCAATGTGTGGGGTTAATACTGTTGATACTCACGTAGGCTAAAACAAGACTATTGTACCTGTACTATTATATTGCAAACTGATTTTTTTTAAAAAGAGCAACTGTTGAGTTTCTTGCCGGTTTCTTCTCAACAGAAACTGCTTTCCGAACCGGTGGTAACTTACGAACTTGTTAATTTCTTTGTAAAATTTTGACGTTTCATAAGAACGCGCAAGCGTCTATGTGAATAAAGATATTTTATTATTATTATTATTATACATGGCTCCGAAGAGTGAGCTACGCTTCTTTACGTTTAATATTCGGTGCTACGGGTTTACGTTTCGATTGTGCAGCAGGAAGCGGCACAATTAGGGGTGGTGGTCGTCGGTGCCTTCAGCATAAGCCCCGTGAGGTGGCGAGGCGCGCTATGCGGCGTGGCGGCCTGTAGGGCTCCCACCGCGGGCCTCCGCACCGTAGCGCTACGCGTACTCAGCTCTACGGCAGTAGTACGACCCCTGCACGTCGTAGCCGATGCGGTCCTCTTTCATCCCGAGCACGTCATTCTTCAGGTATTATCATTTATCATACAAAATTATATAATGTTAATCTATACCGATCGTATAAACAAGTTACATTTATTTATTTATATGCATTATAATGTCTGTATCCAGAACCCCTAGCCGCTACGGTTTGCGGTCGATATCCTCATCGCATCCAAAGCACAGCATTGGCAGTAAAATCGGAATTACAGTGAGAATCGAGTGGACTAAAAGGAAATTATTTTAAAATAATTCTAAACCTGTCTCCAATAAATATTTTGATCTTTTTTTGCTATTTCTAAGTCTTTATGTTCGTTCTTTAATTATCATTACAGTTATTATTATGCAATTATTATTATATTTTACTAGCTACTGCCCGTGACTACGTCTGCGTAGAGGGGTGAAAATTTAGTTTTGTATGTATTTTTGTATGCTGTATGATAAAAAAAAAAAATAAAACAAAAATTTTATATAAAAAAAATAGGGTTGGACCACCCTTAACATTTAGGGGGATGAAAAATAGATGTTATCCGATTCTCCACCCTGGCCGATATGCACACAAAATTTCACGAAAATCGGTCGAGCCGTTTCGGAGGAGTTCAATTACAAACACCGTGACACGAGAATTTTATATATTAGATAAGAAAATCGTTTGTTTTTATTGTTTTTTTTTAAAAACGTTGCCCTTACTTGAGGATAACAATATCCTGTATTGTAAGGACATTTTACAAACATAAATTTCACGTGGGCAAATACCCAGATACGAAACAACTATCTGTGGGTCACACAAATAGTTATTCCGTGTGGGGATCGAATCCACGACCCCTAACGCCAAAGCCAATACCATGGCGACTGCGTCACGGAGTCATTAATCATCAGCTTTAAGTATGTGTAAGTGTCCTTGGCAACTGCGCCATGGAGTCATAAAATTTATCATAATAGTGAATTATTATTATAATTAAAGTGATAAGAAAAGTATATTGATATTTAATAAACGAAACTCTACACTTCATTCACTTTTTTACTCCATAATAAAAATATAATAATAGCACGATCTCACAAGAAGACCGGCGTGAAGTGGAAGTGTGGCGGGAGGTAGCCGAGATCCACTTTATTAAAAGGTGGCAAGGCATCTGCAACCCTACGGGTATTTCCAAAGTCCATGGGCAGCGGTTATCACTTAACATCAGGTGACACGTCAGCTCGCTTGCCACCGTCTCACATAAAAAATAAATTAATGGTCATTTAATTCAACAGACACCTGAGAAAGATTATGACATTTTTTCCGAGGGCGATCCTACCTGCGCCCATTACGTGCACCTCGGCACGGTATTCCCTGATCAACCGGTCTCCTCTAATATTCACCTTGTAAATAACAGGTAACTCAACTCGTTAATTAAGCATCAGCAAAACATGTTTACAATGAGCAGGCTTTTTTCCCGACTTAATCTAAGGTTTTATATCCACCAGAAGATTAACGTGGGCTGATTATGAGACCCCATCTGTTTAGGCCCATGTGATGAAACCTAAACTAATCAATTAAACTCTAAAAAGTGGTCTGAATTGGTCACCATACGGTCATAATTGGTCAGTGCCATTTAGCTAGCAATTGGTCAATACTTTGACGCTAACTACAGAAAGTATAAAATTTTAGGGATATTGGAAATAATTTTAGATCCGATAACCCTAAATAATAACCCCTCTAGGTTTAATTTGAGCCGCCTAAATTTTTCCGATGACCTTAAAATATGAAATTCTCTATAGATAGTGTCAAAGTATTGACCAATTGTTAAAAATCGCCGCTTATGACCATTTCGTGACCACTTCGGATCATTTTTTTAGAGATCAAATTAACATTATTTGGTCCGCTTAATAGGTGATTTAGTGATTAGGTTATCATAAAGACACGAAATAAATATAAAGCCTAACAAAACTTTGTAAAATGTTTTATAAACTTGCTATCATTTTAGCTATCAAAGTCTTTGTTCTTAGAATAAATACGCTTTCGCAATTGTTCCAACAAAGGAAATCACCATTTTAAGTCTAAATTACGCAAACAAGAATTTGAACTTTCTTTGCAGCTCGGTACCGTACCCGTATTACTGGAGCGTTCGGCCTTGGGATGAAAAATTTAATTCGAAAGAGATGGGACGATCAAGTGATTTTCCAGAACAAAATATATGCGAGGTGCGATATTCTCCCATAACAAAAACGTTATCATAAATTAGTAAGTTTTTTTTATTTTCTAAATATCATTTTGAACGGTTTACACGTAAAAAAACCTTTTTTAAATATTTTAGTGACTTTATGATCCCTTGAAATTTTCGAATAAAATATTAAAAATACTCATTCGGTGCGGATATCAAAGTCCCTTTCTTTTAAGTAGAGATAGTTAAGGATATGCGGCGGATGGAGCCATCGAAGTAATCCTTGTTACAGAACGACCGAGAAGCGACCGAGTTGTTGCGCGTAGAGCATGTGTGCGGCGTGGCTGAGGCGCGTAGCTCCGTACGCGTTCGCGTTTGCGCCTCGGCGGCGGGGCGGAATCCGGGCGTCCGGCGAGCCGTGCTCATGTGAGGGCTCTTACAGAACTGGATTTCCTTGTATACGATATGTCAGATTTCATTGATACGAGTGAAGCAAGCAAGCTGACGGTTCACCTGGCGTTAAGTGATAACCGCCGCCCATGGACATCTGCAACACCAGTACAACGCAGGGTTGCAGATGCGTTGCCACCCTTAAATAAAGTGGGCCCCGGCTACCTAGACTCACTAACTAGACTAAGCGTAGAAGTGTAACACTTCCACTTCACGTTAGTCTTCTGAGGTCGTGATACTTACCCGGACGGACCTATCTATTCGTGTAACAGTGAACACTATCGCGTGGCCCTACCACAGTTACAGAGGATTATAATAAAACTCTACCTTAGTTGTGCACTAGCAAATGATCTCTGTCACAAGAAAAGATCATCTGCTCCTGCTACCGAACGTTACTTTTTATCATAATTTTATATATAAAATGAAACACTCGGTGCCATCAACTTGACTCTAATCCTCCGTTACGGCTCTATTCACGTTGTCGCTCAGAATTCTGACTATAATCGCACGCCATCCGATGTTCCCTTTAATTAACCTCAGTTGAAAGTTGTTTCTATCTGAAGATGCTGATCACGTAATCCAGTAAGTCGAAGCAACGTGGGACATGCGTGTTTCAGTTCTGGGCGGTCTTAATGGCTTTGGTTATTTTAAAGTGTGTGAGTGTCTTTACCATGAGTGACAACCGTGGCTTGTTTAAGTTTTTTGTTAATGTTTCAAGGTTAATACTGACCAAAGTTCCCCGGGAATGTATTACTTCCGAGTACGAACACATGATTATGAGCATAGAAGCCGTTGAGGAACGTGCAATACCGGGACTTTGTGAGGTTAGTCTTTCCCTTAGTTTTCTATATATGTTGTAAAAACATACTTTTGACTATATATAACATATCGAATTGAATATTTGTATGAGTAGAAACTGTTACTTTTATCTGATTTAAAAATGAATTTTGATGTGATTTGTCGTTGGTACTAATAATTACAGTTGTTATTTTGAAGATGACACGTTCTGCTTTTATATCTAGCACCTGGTCAATTTTTTGGCCCAAAGCTTTTATGCACATCTGTATGTATCAACCAGCATATAGTAGTCTTACACCATTATGTTATGTTATCACTAACTGTGTTATAGCATTTTATGTAATTACGCAGGAAAGATTTTTCGATTTGTTCGGTCTAAATCTAAGAACATTGACGTAAGAATATCTGTACTAGATATAGTTTCTCTTTATTATCGGATTCAAATTATTAAATTGCCCGGTGAAATTTAATCACATTTATGTTATGCTAAAAATGTGTATATTGTATTTTACCCAAATGTAGTATATAAAGGCTGATATTGTGAATATATTAAACTCATTCAAATATAGACTAGTATACTTAATGACTTAACTTTTGCGTACAAAGTTCTAATTCTTAAAATAATTACAAAAATTTCCTTAACAATGAAACGTGCTATTCAAGGCATGGACACGCTCAGTGTGCCAAGTGCTTTGTGCACAAATGGAAGTGTGGTGGGAGGTTGTGCCCGTATGTTTCACACTGCAGCCACCCATTGTGCACTTGACATACTCCACCAGGTAATATTTTCTCAGAAATTTAAATTTTTTATAGTGCTAATCTCTGCACTTAAAATTGAACATTAATATTTGTAGAAAATGAACGAAAAGATTGTCGCCGCTTTGGGAATCGAACCCACGTCTTCGGCATTCGCAGCCTGACGCTCTAGTCACTAAACGGCTGTTTGCCACACCGACGAAAATCTTAACGTCTTTTATCTATATTGTTTTTTGGGATTTGAAGCAATGCTTGGCGCATCCATTGTTATATCCTTTCCAGCATACAAACAATTTTGAATATCGTTTTACGACGATACGTATTTAAAAAGTACGATTTTCGTACTTTTTCTACAAATTTTAATAATATTTTCTTACTATTTTATTTACAATAATTTAGATGACAATCATTCCAATGTATCCAGCGGTAAGCAGAACTAAGAAAACAAAATGAGAGATATGAAAATATTAATACTTATTAATACTACAAATCTTTTTTCTTAATGTAAACAGTTTTGATCGGACTAAATTCGGGATAGCAAATTTAGACTTGGTTTTACATGTCACACAAATCCAAATTTAAACAAACCTTCAACTCTAATAGTAGAGTAGAAAGAGAGATCTTTCGAATAGAAAGAGATATCTAATGCTATTAACATGCCATCGAACTTATTAAGTGAATAGGCTGACCAAAGAAAAGTTTTTTTTTGTTTTATATGAAAAGTGGCAAAGCTGGTGGTTCACCTGATTTTAAGTGATAACTATCGCCCATGGACATTTGCAACACTCGTAGGGTTGCAGAAGCGTTGGTACTTTTTAATTAAGGGAGCCCCGGCTACCTCACTCACCACACTAAACGCAAAAGTGAAAAACTTCACGCCGGTCTTCTGAAGTCGTGGCGCTTACCTGGACGGACCTGCCGATTCTTGCAACAGTGAACACTGTTGCGTGGCCTTACTACAGTAATTATTATGTGAGCTCATTGTAGAATACCAGGAAAATTGTGATTTACACAGTAATTTTTTTCTTGGCAGTGATTTGTGTACCTGTGAGAATTCTGAAAAATTGTGGACTTGCATGGTAAATCTGAAGTTCTGTCAAATGGGCTTATTGCGTCCTAATCCAAAAAGAGTAGAGTTTGTGCTGAGTTCAAATATTTAAAATTATGTAAAATGTTATGTAAATGGGGATGTTCCAGGGTGAAATCGATAGAGGTGCCAGTAGAAGTGACACAGTTGCAGGGCGCGTGCGGCGTACGCGTGGCGTGGTCTGGCGAAGAAGGCGTTCCACGCGTTCTGGCACTGTTGCCGTCTCGCACTGTTACCGGTACACTGCGAGTGCCTTTGCCAGAAACGTGTGCGGAGATTTGCAATACCGAAACTTACCAGTTAGTCGAAACAAACTGACAGTATTTGTATCTTTTGGGTCACATTTACACTGAAATTGCGTTTGCTTGCTTGTAAACATGTTTGTTGTCACTTTAAGCCGAAACAGGTTAAGAGCAAATTTTAAATGGAGATAGTTTATACGCTGCTATTTACATGAAGAATTATAGTTGTTTATGATAACAATAATAATAAACATTTGAACATTTACTTATAAAAATATTACAATGAGCTAAAATTTATTCTTTCAAAGGAATGAATAATATCTGATATTATAGTGGTTTCTTAAAATGCTTTTATTAATCCAATTGCAACTTTATTGTTATTATTATTGTTTTTTACACTGTTGATCACATTATTTCTGCTTGATATAATATCTATATGTAAGGTACAATAGATTTCATTAAATGTTCGAAATCTTATTAATAGTATGCAAAGTCGGAAAGATAACCAGAAAAAAATAGTTATTTACCACCTGTCATGTAAACGTCATGTATGTCAGTAATATGTTTATCTTTGCATGGTAATAACATTAAAATCCTAAAATTATGCATCAATTACGATTTCTGAAAAATTACTGTACTGCTTATATATTTGTGCGTTATTTAAAGGATAAGTTATCCCGAATGGTTAATATTAGCAAGCTATTGCCAATAGCGTCGCGCTTCTTTTTCGGATTCATACGACGTTAGTAATTAGTTGGGGCATTTGATTTTCGCCATAAAATTCTGGCTCAACTACCTAGTATTTGGTTCTCGGTTTGATATAACATACTCTTATTAGAAAAGGCACCAAAACAGCAGCACGTAAGTACTTTTGCGAACTTTATGGGATTTCTTACACAGGCAGCATTGCCAAGTTTAACCTAGATACATTCCTTTACATTCCTTCGATTGTTGTCCCCTGTCATGCATGGCATATAATTTGTCATTTAGGCTGGAGTCAGTGGGCGGCGAGTGGGGAGCACGTTGTTACGTGAGCCGATGTGGCCGCGCGCCCCTCGCCAATTTGCAGCCGCTCATTTGCTGGCTGAACACGCAGCCGCCGTCCGCTCATCTCACCACGAATCTTCACATTAGCAACAACTCCACGGATACAGTGAGATCGTTCAGCGATAGTTAATTGTTAAGGGTTTTACCTGTGATTAGCAATGGACCACGCAATGTACTTTGAGTTTAATTCGCTTATTTAAGCTTTGTCCCCGTAATTAGGCTGACGAAAGACATTTACTCAAGTCATCTTAGGTTGGTGAAGAGAAGACCAGTGTGAAATTGCATGTGCGATGTGATCTACAAGATCAAATAATTATATAACCATTGTGCAGTATGTGTACCATCAATAGCACTTTTGCAGAAATTAGAGAAACGGTTCAAGTGAATTAACACAATTATTGTTCTATTGAATATAGAATGCAATTTATTTCAAGAACATACTCTTTTTGGAATGTGACCGTGGGACATGTTTATAGTAAATAATACGCTGAAATATTGTCCCTACGTATAGAGTTAGAAATTAATACAACTAAATTGGCTTTTGTTTTAGAAAATTTACTGTCGAAAGTTATTATAAATAATAACGGATTCTTTGAAAGGCGAAAGTTTTTATTTCTAACTCGAAGTTTCTTCCCGAGTCAATACAATGAAGGTTTTTACTTTTGTTTTTCTTCAATTCAATAATTTATTCCGACTCAGTCAGAAGTTAGAAGAAGATAAAACATTATTAGAGGAAGACATTGATGTTTGCTTTGTAGATCAACTGGCACGTTGGTACAACCGAATGGGGGACAAGGACAGACGACTGCCAGGCGCGTGACGTCAGCGCCTGCGCGTGTACGAGTCTAGCGCCATCTAGTGGTGTGTTGCCGCAAGGCCACGTCCAGACCCTTACCTACAAGTGGCGTGCACCCCCAGTAAGCACAAACATTGCAATATATGATAGTCTAATCCTTATCCGGCATTGCGTGTGACCGAAATAAATGGCGTAAATCTACGAAAACTAAAACTTTCAAAAGTCCATGCGTATTGTCAGGAAACCTGAGTTGAACGAATTCCCGATAAGTTGAACGAATTTAAAATTCTTGATTTTGTATCTATTTGTAAAACATCTTTATATCATTAATTGTATCTAGAATGACAAATTAGTTAACTGCAAGAAGCAGGTTGAAAGTACATTGAATTTAACTTCAAATTAGGATTTGCGTTATTTGCAGCGCGAGGGTTGCATTCTGAGGCTGGTCCAACTGCAACAGAATGGACAGCAGGCGACACGGCGCGCAGCACTGATCGGATGCCGTGCGCTTGAGCCGCGATTGCTATTGCGAGTTTTACCCTACAGTGATGATGTCGGTACCGGTGGTGAGCAAATTATGATTAATTAACGATATAAATAATTGTATTTTACTGTGGTAGGGCCACGCAACTGTGTTCACTGTTGCACGAATGCTTGAATCAAATCATATAAAATAAAAAAAGGCGAAAGTAATGTCTTTTGACATTCTCTTTCAATTGATCCGGGTACATTATAACTATAAATTGTGATAATCGTATACCAAGTATATAATACGCAAGGGCATACAAAAGGTTAAATGATTTAATTTAAAGATGTGATGTTTAACTTTGTTTTTAAATACGTTAGAAAACTCAAGCTATTTGTTATAGATATACAAGAGTTAGATACTTTTTCCTTTAATGCAGCCGTGAGTTACTGTTTACTTAGAAATAAATCTCATTTTATTCACAAATGCTCTGTCATACAAATGGCTATAATTCAGATAAATCCAGATGAATCGCAAACAGTTGGAGCGTGCAAGTTGGATGGAAGTACCGCAAAAGTGAGATATACCGGAGTGGCGTTGGTGCGTCCGTTACCTGCTCTCACTGTCGGGGACCGTTTGCTCTGCTGCCTTTCTTGCACCAATATTACTCCAGTCGCTACGACACTACGCTGGGATACATCAACAGGTAAAATTTCCTTCTTAAGTGCACACAATGCACGTTGTATGAATCTAATATCTACTGATTATTAAATATATAAAGACAATTTTCAAATAATAAATGTATAAATATACATTTCTTCAACTCCAGAAATTGTGAGGTCATCTTCATTCTCGCTTTCATTCCATAAATAATTAATTCTGACATTGTATTTAACGTCTCGTCTCCCTGAAATTTCTTTACCCCTTGAATAGCACGTAGACAAACATTTGTCCCATTATCCAAAGTACGGCGCTCAATTTTACTTATCGTTTGACAATTATTTGCCTCCTCGGGAACTGTAAGCCATGAACTTTAAGAATTCATTAGGTTTAGTACTAACTAAACATAGCGGCGGAGTGTTCTCTTCATGAAATTGCTTATCAGTGGCTATTCTAAATATCATGAAGCTGTCATGAAACGGAATGCTATTAAACTAGATGTTCAAGTCTACCATATAGTTTTTTATCTTCATACAATAGTGCTGGCTTTCCGTACTATCACTAACGCTTCAGAAATTAAACAAAATATTTATACACCTGTGAAAACTGCGGCTGCGATCAGTGAATAGCCTGCTGACTCTCAGTACCTCTTGACTATCCAGTCAAGAGGTACTGGTTCGATAGCTCAAGGAATGGAGGCCAAGACTCCCTCCCGTTCTAAACAGCTAGGCCAATTAGCTATTCTCCTCAGGTAAAATTATATTTTTATATTTTTAAACACAACTTTGTCAACTTCACTTTCAGATCACGAACATTATTTACGTACTTTGTTCATTCCTAAACACGTCGATGTTGGCCCGTACTCTACAGTCGTAATTGAGGTGGTTTGCTTTGTTTTTTTTTTGGCTTTAGTAGTTTAAAAATAAAATAAAAATATATAACCAAGTCAATTTACATTTATGAATTAATCAGCTTGGAGACATTTTGGAACAATTTGAAGTGGTCAGCAAATAAGTAAACTTATTTTGAGTTTCTATAGGTATATATTATTCTACATAGCAAAAGTAATTTTTACTCATAAGTTTATTCCTCTCCAGTCATTCTCGTCTGTACTATATTATTAATGCGATACGGCCATGCAGTAGTCTTGGCTGTCGTTTAAATAGACAGGCTCATCCACAGAAGTACCATGAACTCACAGAAGAACGGCGTTATTTGGAAGTGTCGATCCGATGAGTGAAGTGGTAAATGAAACTGTCTCTTACGCCATAGGGTGTGAGTTCGTTCTACTGAAATGTTTATCTATATTTATATTTATATTTATATTTATATTTATATCTGTTAAATGTCAAGTATACAATCTAACAGCTGCTGGAATAAGTGTTTTCCATTTAAGACTACACATGAGTTAGAATGGTGGCTAAGCACTAGCCGATTTTTTACATGGAAAAATATTACTTATGCCCGGTTTCCGAAACACTGATCAACGTAGAAATTAACTAATCACAATAATGTCGTATGATCAATTCAAAGAATTAAACCATGCTTTTGGCAACTCAAATGACATGTGACAACCGATTTGACAGTTGATTACTTAATTTCTACGATAATCAAGTGTAAGTGTTGACTTGTATTATTTACAATGTTCATTTCTTAATTCATAGTTGTCGAGCACCGGTGCTCATGCGGTGTCCTTCTCGCCTTCTCATGGCTCTGCTGCGTCGTATAACTCAGATGAATTGACGGCAGGTGACCCTCGAAGCTCTCGCGGTATGCCGACGGCGTGTTTGGGCGCACCGTGCCAGCGTTCTGCACTCGCAATCGTATCTGTATCTCTTGATCGACACGGCAATCGATGTACGTGCAAGCGTGTCGTTCTCACTAGTAGATTTGAATGATGAGTTTAATGAATACATAAATCGAAATCTCCGGAAAAAAACGCATCAACAAACGGCTTCGAAAAAACAAACATTACTGATGTTTTGTTTTACATTAACAATTATTTTGATACTTCAACTATCTTCAAATTTTATGGTTGAGCAATTTTATTTTAGTAATTTGACTAGCTTAGTGCTATGTTCCGAATTCCCGTTTTTGTTCTACAGCTCTCTGCACTGAACCTGAAGTTTTTAACTGACTTCGAAAAGGACGAGGTTTTTCTATTCGACCGTATTTATATTTTTTGTCTTTTTGAACATAGTTTTTAATCCTATCAATATCGTTTAGGTTACCGTTTAGACTAACGACAATTAGTCTCTCCCATCATTTATTGCATAGTTTTATTACGTATTTTTTTCTTCAAAATAAAATTTTCATAAATGTTAATATCTGATATATGTTAAAATAGTTATTGTTGCAGGGCCGCAAAGTTACCATTGATGTTCCTCTAAATGGATGCTCGGACGCAGTGACAACAATTCTTAGAACTGAGGTAAGCCATACGTTACGACTTACGTGTTAGTACGTGTTATAAGTATCAACTTTTTTACGAGTATTTGGGCAGGTGGTAAGAATCATGCACCGAATGAAATAGTAGTCCTAATAGTTTCTGTTCACGTAACAATTCAATTATTTCCTGACAAGCATATAAAGAATGTCTACGTTACTTACCATGAATACGAATACGTTACGTTACTTAGAATGTCTTCATTACCACCATCATCATCATCTGCATCATCATCATCATCATCATCATCATCATCATCATCATTTCAGCCTGTGCAACTCCACTGCTAAACATAGACCTCCCCCACAGACCGCCATGAAATTCGATCCTGATCCACCTGCATCCGTTAAATTCCCGCACCCTTGGACAGGTGGTCTCTCCGTCACTACAGCTAACTAATCCTTGAGATATGTCCGGTTACTTTTGCTCAACTGCGGATGTCTTCATTGCAAACTATATTTCCTGCATATCATGTCTTAATTACAGCTGGAAGCTTCACGACAGGTATCTGACAACAGTAAGCCCTCTAAACCGGAGAAAATTTTCCTTGAAAATGACAATAACCGTATAAAGCTGAAAGGTATTTCACACAGTTATGTATATTTTATTTGAAATTAATTGTTAAAATGTATTCGAAGTTAATGCTTCAGATTAATATTTTGCAGGCTCACCTTTTTTTATTTAACTTCTTTAATTTCCCATAAATAAATTCATAACAACCATAAGAAAATGCTATGTAAAAATCTATACTGTGTTTACAATTTTATTTATTATAATATAATATAAATTATATTATAATAATTAACTTTAAGTATTGGATATTTTACCGAATACAAATATAGCTTATAGGTTATAACGACTTCTTTAATTTAAAATAATCATCATCTTCTGGCCCCTAAGTAAACTAAGTGGGGTATGCAAAAGGTGCTAATCAAAGGGTCAAGCAAATACTCAGCAATTGACTCGTGTAGAAATTCAACCCAAGACACCAGCGCTGAAGAAAATAACGTGTCATTGCGCCAGTGAGTCATAATGAAATCGCTTAAGAGACCATTTCCCTGTTTATAAATCTCTTCAACACTATAAGAGGTTAAGAAAGTACCACAAGTTTATAAGGTTAAGAAAGTTCCACAAGTTTTGCACGTAATATTTTAATTTCTCAGTAGTTGAGCCGCCACGGGGGGTGTATGAATGCCCTTGCTTTGTGCATTCCGACACTGCGCCTTCAAAGAAACGAGAGCCCCTTTGTCTAGAATTCAACAATGTACCCATTAACACGGGTAAGTTCTTGGATAACCATGGAAAAACTAAAAATAAATTTGATAAAGAAAATGTGCTAGAATTTGTTTATGAAGGTGGGAAGTGAATAGGTAAACTGGTAGCTAATATTAACCAATTACCGCTGCCCATGGACATCTATAAAATCGAGGGGTCTCAGATTTATTGCCAAAGCTGCTTGGGCTCCTACCTATAATAAAACCGTTTAAAAACTTAAGTTAAACGGTTTTATTTTCTGTTATTTTTTTTTGTGCACTAAAAACTACAATATTGTATTGTCATCTAAACTAAATGTGTGTACCAAATTTCAGATACAACGGGAAGGTGCTTAAATTTCAATTTCTAATTTTGACCCAAATAAACAAACAAATTCCGTACGGGTCGAGCTAAATAAAACCTATTAATAAAAATTAAGTAATCTTTATGCCTTTGTTCAGCAGTGGGACATATATAGACTGTTACTTTAGTTTACTTTTCCAATCTACGATATACACATCATAATGACTTTTGTGTGTCGGTGACGACCTCATGACCCGAATGGGTCATAATATGCTTTTTTTGATTTTCAACCGACTTTAAAAAAAGAGGAGGTTCTCAATTGACTAACTGAGTGAAGCGATTTTGATGATTCTTTTTTTTTTATTTGAAAGCCGGTGCTTCCCATATTAATTTACATTGGTATTGGATCTTGGACTCCCGAGATACTTAGGGAACTCCTGAAAATCAATTATTAAATATAAAATGAACGCAGAGCGAGATATTTGTAGTCGGTTTTGTTTTTCGTTAGTAAAAATATGGAATTGTTTATTGTCCAACGACCAGCGGTCTTGCGGCATCTTATAATACGCAATGAGGGCAACCTGCCGGTGCATTGGAGGGCCACCACGAGTCGAGGGACCAGCATCCTAACTGCGGTTACACACCAAGGTATGGTCTGTCCTTCCGTGCCGTTAAACCTCAGTTATTTGTGTTATATTATTCGTAACTAGCAACCCGCCCCGGCTTCACTCGGGTACAATGTTGATACTAATATGCAGCAGTGTGAAATGATTAATATTATGATTATGATCAGTCTATACTACGGGATATCTTTATATACGAGATTTACACAGATTTTGAGACAGCGCAAACATGTTTTCTTTAGAGGTAACGCCCGAAATTGCGAACCCACCGACCATTTTACAATTCCGTAGTATAATTTGATCTATCTCCTAAGGTTAAGTCATAAGCGCACAAAATATGTTAACAACATCACATTACAAGTCTTTGAATTTCTCGGCTTTTCTCTATTACAATATGCATTTATATACATATGAACCTTTCTCTTGAATCACTGTATCTATTGCTGTAACCTGTCATTAAAATCTGTTGCGTACTTTAAAAGTTCTAAGCGTACAAACAGCGGAAGCGACCTTTTTAATACTATGAAATGAAAAGATAATAATTTATCTACTGTTTTGTTGTTCTTCTTACCTTTTTAATGGGAATAAATATACTTGTGACTGAGACGAAGTTACTGTAGTGTTCTTTTCCTTCCATCCAGGACTGTGTATGCCGGAGGTATCAGAATCTGGTGTGAGGGTGAGGTGCGTCCCGGCGAAAGGTCGGCTAGGAGCTGGTAGCGTGGCTAGGATAGAAGTCAGCGTGCTAGCCGGCACCTGGGGACTGTATCGGGAACAGTTGCTTGTCCAGGTAGAACATGCGAAGCATTTAACAGCCGATTTGAATAAGAAGTTGTTTTATATAATTTCATTCGTCGTTAGGACTAAGTATGCGATTTAATATCGGTCATTGTTACATTGTGTGATATTATCTGTGTGCTATATACGAAAAGAAAACTCACCGAGCCCTGATCTTTAATTTATTGAAACTTAGACAAAAAGTGTTACTATATTAACAGCATATATTGAATTATGGCATTTTATGATATGCGTGCGTAGAAATAATAAATGAAGTAAATAAAAGGTGTAAATATGAGCAACAGTTAATAGAAAAGTGAAAAGTTTATCAGTACACTAGAAAAATATTACGATGGGATCAAAAAGGTAGCGTTAACGGTAACGGTAATCTGTAACAAGCGTGTCCGGTACACGCTTGTCTTAAGGAGATAATAGATTACGGATGACGAAAAGTAGATGTCTACATACGAAACACATCAATATATTTTTATTTTCAGATTGAAAACATGGAGCCCGTTATATTAGATATATGGATCGAAGCCGTCGGAGGGCCTCTTCGGTTCTCGCTTAAACCTAATGGGAAATACGATGACCCACCGGTTCTTTGGTAAATGAAATACGTTACAAAGCATTTCACTCACTCAGCAGCTTTTAGACACTTTGCACACTCGCTAATAGTGGCGGATTTGCCCTAAGTCCAAATAGGCCCGGGCCTAGGGCGGCCAATCGTTACAAAAAATTCACAGATGATAACAAGATACGTGATGGGCTCTGAGAAAGGGCCGGCTGGAACTTATTACATGGACTGGGGCCTAGGGCGGCCAAGACTACAAATCCGCCACTGCTCGCTAACATTTCAAAAAAGCTTAATTGCATCCCAGATCAACAGTGTGGTTATTGTAAGTTAATAATGTTAATGAAATATGTTCCCAAATCTACAAAATACTCCATGACAACTCACAAATAAAGGACGTCTGCAATGTGTAAAAAATGGTGTAAACAGAGGTGAATGTTAAAATTAGACATATTTTTACTATCATGTGTACAACTGCCACTTAACTACTTAAAAATAATAACTATCTATACCACAATTTTAGGATGTCCACGACGGATCCAGAGCGTCATCTCCACGTAACAAACACGTCATGTGCTGACATTTCCGTGTACAATTTTGTGTTGAGAAAAAATGGTAAGTTTCAAAAATTTGCAGGACTCGTATATTAAGCAGTAGAGGTATTTAGGTTACATATAATATGTAAGGTTTATTTATATTTTAATTTTATACCCCTAACCTAACTGGGTAATTTTGTACCCTTTGCACGCCATTAGTACCACTAATTTAAGAAACCTTTACGTGAACACTAATGTAAAAAGTACTCGATCAAAGAAATGAATGAAGAAGAGAACGCTCCATTAATACATCTACCCGTTTGTATGTGTCAAGACATTCAAAGTTTTTTTTTTTTTCAGATCTTCCGCAACATAAACTTCCATTACGACTGTATTTACGATTTTATGATGGCCCAAAAGTGTTGTCATATGACGATGGATATGTTTGTACGTTCTTTATATAAATAATTTCATAGCTTTGAAGTACACACATTATATGAAAAAGTATAATATACTAAAAAATATTATTTATAAATAATTTTCATGTCTGAAAATTCCTATTGCAACAATATGCAAAGTGTAATAACGACCGATATACATGTTTGTGTTTTATAATTACGATAAATACTTATTTTTTGTTATAACAGTACCCTTAAAAGGTAAAAGCTCGTCATCGTCTGCTATAACACTTCCAGAAGAACCAAGTACAGGTATCGAGCTACTTGTATGTGAGGATTTTGGTAAAACTGACAGTGCTGTTTTCCAGGTACACGTTTTATTAAATTCATACCTATTTTTAAAGTACTCTTTACTACCATTATTACCAATGTTAAAAGTAAGTTTACTTAATAAAGTCTCTAACGTACGTACTCCGCACTAATGGAAAACTTGAGAGAGGATTGGTACTATTTTCTAAGAAATGTTAAAAAAGTACTTTAGGCTCCTTAGAAAAAGCCATTACCTGGCAGTCGGCGGCAACTTTACTTGTTAGCAACTGCCCAAACCAAGCGATATACTAGTATATTGTAATGTAATAACATTGGCTGAAATTTATTGCCACTAGTTTATTGGTTTCGTGTTAATATGATAAATAAGTTGGGGAGAAAACGGGGATTCCAGAATACTAGCTGCTGGCTGGCGCTTTTCGTGAATATTCAATAGCAATTGTTTCGGTGCCAGACCACTAGCCAAGATACTTGGCACGGCGGACGAAAGAAACTAGATTACATTCTCCCCTATTCATCTAATGACAGGTTATAAGTTACTATTCCTTTTATGGCGTTTTGATTTTATAATTTATTTTTCAGTCGTATAAATTATTATCTATATATGAACTCTTTGCTTTACTTTTTTATGAGACAACTGTTTCTCTACGGGATTCTCATTACTTTTAATTTCGAGTAGTTACTCATCTTGTTAAAACCTTTTTTTTTTGTGAAAAGATGGCAAGCTAGCTAGCGGTTCACCTTCTCAAGTTAAGCGATAACCGCCACCCATGGACGTCCATAGGGAGCAGATGCGTTGCCACATTGTAATAAAGTGGGCCCTGGTTACCTCACTCACCAGGGGAAACGCAGAAGTATGCTTCCACTTCACGTCCGTCTTCTGTAACGTTGTGGTATTTTATTATTATTTATTATTTTAATATTCGTGCAACGGCATAGACTGTTGCGTGACCCTACCACTGTTAATGTTAGTGTTATATAAAATCTACCGTGAACTTTATTATTAAAGGTGGAGCCCAGTGAGCTTACGATTTCCGCTGGAGGGAGGGCAACACAAGTAGTGAGGCTTGTTGATAACGCCCCAGAAGTATCTGATGCTGTTATTTTGTTGTGGACGAGACCGTTACAGCGTTACGGGTATATTTTATATACTTTAAGGCTAGCTTTCCCACTAAACTTCATCCGCGTCGACTTCAGAAAAGATTTCATTAAAACTTTCATCCTCGTTTCATAGAACGTCGAGAAAAGCTCTAAGTAAGTAGTCAACAGAGTTTCTTATTCGCTTACCCTTAATCAATAATAATTAATCCTTTAATCTGTTAAATTTTTTGACAGAATATAAAAAACTTCGAGGTGATTTTTTTTTTATTTTATTACTAAATAGTAAAAACAGGCTACATATATAGATGACAAATATGCAGGAAATATCTACTAACAAGAAAGTTAGCTGCAAGTAGGCGGTTCACTTAAAGTTAAATAATAACCGTCGCTTAGATATCAGTGGGTGAACATTATTTAATTTATTATTTTCTGATGTAGTCTGCTTGCTCCTCGAGCAATATTTTTTTACACAGATTACATGTTTCTTTAGAGGTTCACCTAACTTAATATTCGGTATAAATATTCTTTAGTTAATTAGTTCCAAGTTTACCCTCTATATGGGAGCTATGAAGCATGGTGGTTTTGAAAGATTGAACCATCAACGATAGAATAATTTCGATATACTTTTAAATACAAGTATTTTTAAATACAAGTAAGTTAGTAAGCAATTCAATTTAAAGGAATGTTTCTTCTTTGTATGTTTATAACGGTAGATTTTGAGGGACATTAGGTTAACGAATTTGATCACAAGTGATACGAGTACGTAGAATAGTAGTAATCAGGTGGCTGCGGATCGTCCTCCATGGCAGTTTGTGGGCGAGGTCTATGTTTAGCAGTGGGCCCTGTAAGCTTTGCTAACATACTGAAATTATAGTGATGATGATGATGAATAACGAAGTAAACGTTTCTTACTTTCAGTGATTATTATTTATATAATTATTTTTAATAAAATTTGTAGAAAAACAGGACTAAAAGTTTTTCGCCGATATGGGAATAGAACTCACGTTTTCAGGATTTGTGCCCTGACGCTTTAACTACTAAACTAAAAGGCTGATACGATAATTAGAACGAGCTACTAAACTAAAAGGCTGATAATAAAATAAAATAATTCGAACGAGATATGTCGCCATTGCTATAACAAATTTAAATTCTTATAGTGCTACAAGGTTTATTAAAAATTAAAATTTGCAATTATATTTTATTAAGGTGATGTGTTTTGGCCAGGCCAGGCTGGTTCAGGGCTGACGCGTCCCCACAGCGGGTATGCCTCCGTGCGTTTGGCCGAGCTCGTCTCCAGGTGTCGTGCGATGAGCTGCAAGTGGACTTGAGCGCCCTTCAACTTCCTCCCGGAGGTGTCACCAGGCGAGTGTAAATTGCTAAAATATCTCAAGTCACTGAAGATATCGGTGCAGCATCCCAGTAGTTCAGTTGTGTAACACCCTCCATTCATCCCTGTTCAATCTTTCACGATATGCTACGAAGGTAAAATATTTATATTATTCAAGCTTAATAAAGAAATAAATGTACCTGAAGTACAACGCCACAAAGCATGGTCCTAAACCACCAATTTAATAGTTTTTGAATATCAACATCTCATAAATTTTTCAAAACTTCTGTAACGATTTCGTGTTTAAAATTGATAGCTCATTAAATGCGCCCGACAGAGTCACCAGAATACTTAATAAGTTTATATGTTTAATGTAGAGCAATTCATATTGGTAAAATTTATCGCGCAATTAAATGAAAATTCCACGGTGACAAGGATTCTTGAAGAACAACGAAAAAGATATATACATGATTATGAACAACATCCAAAAAAAAATTGTTTATTAACTATTTATCGTTCAGGATTCTGAGAAAAGTTCCCACTGCCATTTTTAAAAGCGTAATTCCTCTATCCATTATAGAGTTCGCAAATACTTCCGAGCTCTAAACGTCGGCGACGGAGTGCTGGCAGTTAGAGCGCTAACCGAATCGCCCTGGAGCATTTCGCTGCGAAATGACAACTACACCGAATGCGTTCCGAACTGTCGCGAGAATTTACAACAATTGCTACTAGAACTTGCGCCGCGAAGTTCCATCGAGGTATATTTCAACGGCATATTTTAGTATAACTAATTATAGTACTATTTTAATAGGGAAAGTTTATTTTATTTACAAACTTTTCATATAAGTTTTCCTTCGCACAAGTGTGGAACGAATCTAATTAAACTTGAAAGTTGTTTTTCAATGTGTTATTATATGATATATTTATCTCTAAAGAATTATTTATTTTATTTCTATACAAACTAGTAAGAGATGATGCGGTTTAAATAATTCAGCTTGGAGATATCATTGCGTTTGTATTTACACAAATGAGTTAGTACGAACGTAATTTTTTAACATGAATCTTTTGCACTCCAGCCATTTCAAAGTCATAATCATCCTCGTTTTAACACGATAAATCATTTATATTAATGATAATTTGTTCTGATACATTTACTTAGGCTTCGCTACTATTTTTACACTATAATTCTTTTTATAATTCAATTTTACAAAAAAAAATAGTATAGTAGTAATGCAACATATGAAAACAATGAACTAATAAGTAAGTGAAGTAATTAGATAGTAGAAATAATAAACAAAATTTCTTTACACTTCTAACGTTACTTAAAAACGACTGGTTTATTTAAGTTAAAGTCACTGTTTTAGTCACATGACACTTACATACTATAAATGCAAATGCGTCTTTAAGCCGATTTATTTGCAAACCTTACTACTTGCATATTTATTTATTTCGTCTTTATTGCAATTACCTTAAATAAGGTAAGGATTACAGAAGGCGAGCTTAATACCTTTTGGCATTCTCTTTTATACGTATGAATTGATTTGAAAAGACCACTAGGATGGCAATGGTAATATTTCAATCGGATTTGTACCTATTTCCAGTTGTGTGCGGCGCTGCGTTTATATACGAGTGACGCATGGCCAGCCTCATACGAAGAATACTCCTCGCGTAAAATGACCACGAAGCAAATTAACTTTTATGACTTGGATGATGCATTATTGTTGGTTGGTACTGGAATAGAATAGAATAGAAACCATTTATTCAAGACATCACGCAACACTAAACTAATTTATAAACGTATATACATAATTATGCATGAATGAATGAATGAATATTTATTTAGTTTCAATAACAAACACAGGTATGTTAACAATTAAAAGAATATATATCTAAGACATGAAACCAAATAGGTATGTACTCGGTACGATTTCCCGATTTTCGGTACATCGCAAAAATTAAAATTATAAATAACAAATTAGACTAAGATTAACACAAAGCGGGTACATTAATTCAAGGACAATACCACAATACCTACTGATCATAACACAAATTTAGTACATTATGCTAAAGACAGTAACACAATAACGACTAATGAAAATTAACATCTATAAGTAAAAGCAGTAAAGTAATTATAGTATAGAGTTAGCGTATACATAAATAAAAAAGAGAGAAAAACACATTTGTACACGTGTACATAATAAATGGGGTTGCGCAATGCATGAAAGAAGACCTTAGAACTGGTTTTAAGTCAGAACCCCTTCAGTGGCGTCACGAACGAACAAAAATTACAAAAAGAAAAATGCTGCTTTTATTTCCTACTTTTCATCCTTAAATACATAATATGGAACATTAAAATTCTTGACACGTGCTATTCTGAGCCTTCATAGCTCATTGTCGGGGTACTCGCTTTTAATATACGCCGCCGATCCGCAGTAGGACATTTATAAGCTGTAACATGTTTCTAACTATTTGATGTCAGACTAGATGCTTTGCAATCCTTTATCCTTTGTTATCGACATTAACGCAATTGAACAGGCTTATCTCAGTATGCGTAATTCTTTTAGCAGAGTAGGTAGCAAAAAAGTAGCTCACAATCATACGGGCTGATTTTATTGTCAACAATACTTGCTTGCTACACAAGACATGTTGCATTACCGGCCTTTCCTAAAAGAGATGGCTCTCGTCTTGAAGCCTTTTTAATTTAGTACCATTACGTTACAATCACTATAACTGCTAGGTGTCATACTCAAGAAAGATCAAAATACAAGACTACACATTGATTCTAACTAAAACCGGAACAGTGCAGGTGTACTCTAAGTAAATTTAATACAACCTGAGATGTAGTATTGGATCTGACACGTGTTAAATTGTACGCTCCAATTTGAAAGTATAATCTTAAATCATATTAATTGGTGGCAATGGAAAATTCAAATATGCTCGTACGTAAAAACAATTCTCATAATTATGTCATTTATGTGATAGATTTTTTGTGATAGATTGTGACACAGAACCCTATAATATCAAGAATTCCTAATTATTTCTTACTTAGCAGAAGGTATACCTAACCTGTTTAAAATTTATATAACGATTATCAGTTCTAAGAAAACCATATAGACATTTGAGATTTCGATATTTAAAGTAGTCTCGATTTTATATTGGGGTTTATTTTTCAAATTCCGAGAATTATAAAAATATATTTCCTAGATTTGATGAATTAAAATTTACGAAGTTTAATGTTTTATGTAAAATTTGACGATTCATAAGAACGCGCAAGCGTCTATTTGAATAAAGATTTTTGATTGATTGATTGAAGATGTTTTCAAGAAAATTATTAATACTATTATCAATTCAAGTACCACTGAATCACCACCAAGTAACCCTAAATAGTCTGTTTAACAAGGTTAATCAACTAGAACTTTGGTCTTCATTGGTTCCATGCGATATTTTTTGTGCTGTTTCCAGCTAAGAGGTGGCTTCCAGAGTTTTTGTTGGTGTTTCCTATTTCTAGAGGCATTGGGAACGTGAACTGTAATCTATGTCGTTATGAATATTTTATTAGACCATGTCGTTACGCGTGCATCTGGAGTTGCCCATTCTGCGCATCGTTCCCGCCGAATTCGATTTCGGGCCCGTCGCTCTCGGGGACACGAGAAAGACATACTTCACCGTGTCGCACACCAGCTGTGAGCCAAAAATCAAAGTATATATTTACGACACTTGACAAACGAGCATTACTGTATTCTGTATCAACAAATGGCCGTGGCAGGGCCAAGCAACAGTCTTCGCTGTTGCACGAATGGGCAGGTCCGTCTGGGTAAATACCACGTAAGTACGCCGGTTTTATGTGAGTACTTACACCGATGTAATTACTCACAGAAGACCGGCGTGACCTGAAAGTGTTATGCTTTTGCTTCTCGTCTGGTGATTGAAATAGCTGGAGCCAACTTTATTAAAAGTGGCAACGCATCTGGAATCTCACGCTTTTGCAAATGCCCTTGGGCGGCGGTAATCACTTAACATGTGGTGAACCCCCAGCTCGCTTGCCACCATCTCGTAAAAAAGAAAAAAAGATTGGTAAAAAAGTAATTTAGAATCAATTACAAAATGGCAATAAGCTTTTATTGTGAGATGAGTTCTATACCGTAGAGTAAATCTGTCCATAGTGATATCTATAATGTGAACAAAATAATTGTTTTGTCTTTAGAACGAAAAGATAACGTAAACCAAAAACGGAATGTAAATAAAAAAACACATGTTATTCATAACAAAAATATGCCCTATATTTATTCCACTAATGTTACATAATTTTAGAGTTATTGTGAACATTATAATATCTAATTGAATTTTGGTGAACCATGGCAGCTCAGTGTCAGGGCTCTCGCTTTTAATTCAATATGCTCGGCCAATCTGAATTCAAAAACCGGAGACGAATTATCACGTGCTCAGTGGTGAATGAAAACATCATGAGGAAACCTCCACATTTTCGAAATAACAACAGAAAAAATATTTCAAAGGCATGTGAAGTCCACCAATCAGCAGTTGTGCCGCGTGGTGGACTTTACCCTAATACCCTTTGTACAGAGGAGGCCTTTGCCCAGCCGTGGGACTTGTACGGGCTGTTGCTATACTTTACTTTGGGTCTCCAAACTGTTTTTTTTTTTTTCATTTTAGTCTTATTAAGTAATCCTGCGCCTTTTTATATGTTATCGATTCAATTGTAGCTTTAACTTCAATGGAATTGCTGGTGATCTACGAGGGTGACGATGCGTTTACTGTGTCGCCAAAAAGCTTGACGCTTGCTCCCAATTGCAGTGGTCGCTTCTACGTGCAGTATGCTGCCAGGTTAGAGGTTACTTTCTCAATTAAACGCAAAATAATTTTTCATTTCAGCCTAATTGGTTAGAAATAAATTAGAAATTACGATATTTTTCTTCTATGCCTTCTATTCTTTTTCTATTTTAATTTGTGAGTAAAAGAGGACTAATAAATAATAAATAAGTATTAGTAAGTAAAGAATCCTAAAAATACATGCATCATTCTGTATGTAGCAATATTTAAGCTCACGGCTACTGTTTCTTTTCTGCTGTATACAAAATTGGTTGTAAATAGTTTTTAATAAATTAATAATTCCGACCTCCTTCTCACAAGTGGATGATTGGCTTAGGATTATTCGTGAGAAATTTCGCAAAGGTAAACCGTTAAGATTTTATCCCTTTCTACATTTGGAGATCGAATTTTCAAAGCTAAAGCCGTGATGGAATTGTATTATCGCAGTAAAAAGGGTTTACTTAACAGCCACGGCTCTTTTACTAGATAGAAGACAAAAGGTTATTGTTGAAGTGAGCGCTACGTCTTAAGCGAAAGCCTATTAAAATATTGGCTATGCCTTCAACGATGTTGTTACTTAAAATTTTATCTTACATCTATTTACGTAAAATCGGAGGTACAGGTTTTAATATTACAAATATGTAGCCTTTTCAAATGCGCAAATTTCGATGGCCGATATCAGACTTTTTTAAATATTTTTGTTTTGCCTGGGCCATTCTCCGAAACAGCCTGACCGATTAAGATTGAAATTCATCGAAAAACAGAGAACTTTTGACTTAGCAATTAAGGGCTATTTTTATTGCAAATAAAAAAAATCTTAGTTTGAGCATTGAAATTAGTACAAGTTATGTTTTATTTGTTTGTCATCAATTTTCGATGACTCCGTGGCGTAGTTGCCAAGGTGTTGGCTTCGGCGTCGGTGGTCGTGGATTCGATTGGGGAGGGATAACTATTTGTGCGACCCACAGATAGTTTTTTCGCATCTGGGTGTTTCTCCATGTGAAAATTATGTTTGTAAAATGCCCTTACAACGTAGGATAATGTAATCCTAAAGTGAGGGTAATGTTTTAAAAATTAAATCTTGTATCATTTCTATTGTTTGAATTGATATGTAACTAGTTACATTACAATTTGCACATACATTACAAGCAATTACAAGAAAATTTTGCACGCCGTAACGATTGGTTACTTAAGTACTTTTATCAGTTATAATTATTTACTTTATAATTAATGTTTTTCTAGTATCTGAGTGTTTATATATTTATAATATGTACTTACTAGTCTCCCCCTCCCGCTTCGCCGTGGCATACCGTTATCTTTAAATCAAATAAATAAAGGTTCCGGATAAGTAATCTAACTAACACATCATATATTAAAACCTTTTGCGAAACACGCATGTAAGTATTTTTCCGATCGATTCCGGTTCTCCATTTATTAATATAGATCGATTTGCAAGAAAAAAGCATGTTTAAGTATTTTTATCTGTTACCTAATCTTATCATTTAAACGAGCAATTCTTGTATATATATAATCGGAATCTCGGATCATTGCTTTCTTTATTTTTTATTTTTTGTTGATCTAGATGCCAAAGCTCGGTCCTCCAGGTACTATCCATAGTACAAGCAAGCTCAGTTTGGGACTAGAGAACATTTTGTAAAAGTGTCCTGAAATATTTATTTAATCAATTACTGTTCTTTGTCAGCGGAAGGGTAGCTGAGGCGTGGGGCAAAGTGCGGGTATGCGCGTTGGGTTTGAAGGGGTCGGGTGGAGTGACGGGGACATTAGGGGTGACTAAGGTGCCCGGAGTAGAGGGGTGGTGCGCGGCTTACGCAACCCTCAGGGCGATCAGCACGGCTGACAGGGCGCGCTCTTTGCCACCTCACGACTTCACCGACGACAGTTCACTTGTGCCAAAGGCCTTCAAGTAGTCATTGCACCCTTACATTAAGAGTGCATGTTCAGGAGCAATCGGACGACATAGTCGGATAGACAAGATAGAAAAATAGATTATTGTCGTTAATAAATTGAACAATTGAATTGGAACATCTTTTTATTTGAATGAAATTTTCAGACCGATGAAAAGGCGTGAACGATGGTAGGTTTTAGCATACACACAAACAACAATTTTTCAGAATTGCATTAATCAGACATATTCATTTTGGTTAGAAACATCTAAAAACTTAATCTTAAACATCTAAACTCCCGCCGTACACAACAATAATATTGCAGCGTATAATCTTATCAGATTATGCCTTCTACATCTGTTATATGAAGTACTAAATAGGTTATAATTGTATCGGGAGTCTAACAGAATTTATGAGCAACTGCTTCGACATGAGATTAATGATTTATATAACATACTTTTTTCTACTTTACACAATAAATTATTAACAAAAATGTTTTTTTCGTATTTTCGTTATCGCTTGTTCATTTATTATTTGGGTAAACAAGGTCAGAATATTCCATATCGGTGTTAAAAATAATATAAAGTTTCCATTAGGAATGCACTTTGTTTTACGGAGTAGTCTGCACGATGCTACGGAGTAATTTGTGTTTAACAATTTTTGGAAAATTATGAGTTAAATTTTAGAAAGAATAAAAAGAAATTTAAAATTTATATGGGTTTTTCAGTTTTGCAGTTGTTTTTAAACCGGAAGTATCATAATTATAGGAAGTATGGATATCGTCCAATTCCGAAGAAGCATTGATATTGCTAAATGATATTAATTCCGTTATTTGTACACTCGCATCTCGCATCGCATTTGTAATAATATCGCCAATGCTATCGTTAGGGTACCCTATGGCAATATAGTTTCAGTGAATATATTTTTTCGATATTACGATCGAACCAACAACATAAAATCTCAATCTAATACGAGTATCTGTTTATTTAATTAAGCTTACCAGATAATCACATACGAACGATACCCACGATTTGATGATAAAACAATTTTTAAACTATAAATGTGTTTATACGTATATATTAGATTTAAATATTCAAAGAGATAAAACTACTTAAAAAAATCAGGTTATTTTGATACATATTATGAACATTTAATAGTATTTCATAATTAAGCATGATGTGTTTGAAGATGCCGAGAGGTCTGCCTTCAAAGGACAGGCTTGTTTAATCTTAAATCCAACGTTGTAATTACCTTTGTACATAATGTTTACTTAAAAACGAGCCCAAGCTTTGAGGCGCTCGAAACTTCTGCTGAGGTAACTATGACTCCTTAATAAGGGTGCTAAATTTAAGTCCTTTATGAGCAGAGTGTGGTTAGTTGATGAAATAAATTAGCGGTCCTTTTAATCAAAATCTTGTAAATGAGTTACTATTTTTTTATTTATATTTTTCTTTCGAATTAAAATAAATCCTTACATTTTGTGATATATTTTTGTATATATCATATAAATTTTTAATTAATTTGGCAGCATGAAATTAGTAAAAAAAATAGTCTCTTATACAATATAATATATTTTTCTTAGTTCTTAAGATTGTTCAAAACCAATCTTTCCATAGTGTATTACGTAGAATTCAGACTGGATAACGATTCACGTTAATTTAATGTGTGCACAGTTTTATTAACTTAATGAACATGAACTAATAGAATTTACCATTTGTAGATTCGCTTCCGTCAACTTTTGGGTACACTTCGTAGCCATATACTGCGTATTCAAAGTCTGCACGGTGCCATATTATTACATAATGCAATAATCATCATGTATGGATTTTCTATAGTTATTCCATGAATTAAAAAAATCTGTTACTTAAAACAGTGTCATTTTCGACCTTAAGGCTATCGGTGTTATCAAAAAATTGTTTATAACTTGTCCGATATCGAGTCTGTCACCGCACATCAGTTTCTATTGTATTGTGACTGACATAGAAATGATGTGATATTTTAACATAGAATTGATAAAGAAATGTAACAAAAAACAGATTTTAGGATCCCTAAATCAAAACTTTACTTACTATAAATTCGTTGCAGATGATAATCCTAGTGTGATTTTCTTTATCTCTCTTTTGTTTGCCTTGAATAAAAGCTGTGAAATGTATTACTGGCCTATCTGGAATGAAATAAGAATCTATTGATCTAACAACTATGCACTTTACCATAAAACAATTTGAATAGCGCCATCTTGCGTCATTAAAAATTAAAACAATGTATTAATATTCCGGACATTGCTTTAGATGTTTGATGAAAACGTGAATAGATGTCGCAGCTACTCAAACATGTGAAATCTAAGCCTGATAAAGATTCCCATTGCCACTTCCAGATGGCGCACATTAATAATAAATTTTTATAAAAATGAATTGCGTGTTATGTTATAACAGTAAATTCAAAATTTATCGTTAAATCATAGACGGGAGATGATAAAGCATTTATATGAAACCTGATTGTGGAAATTAAGATAGTAATCTCAGCGTCTCCGTGTTTTGACTTTTCCGTGATTGCATGGATCCGCATGGAGTAGCAGCGGGCGGTCAGTGGTCACTTACTTTTCGGCTGCTTTCCTGGACGGTGATAATCGACGGTGATTCCTGAACAACTAGTGCTGCTTATCGTTATAATAGTTGTTGATATTCAAATTCAGAAATAGGTAAAATATTAGAATCAAATTAAAAACGTTAGAACTCTTATATATCAATGATGTTTAATAATATAAATGACACTGTGCGGCGTTTAAAAATTTTTACGCTTTACATTATATGACATATATAATCGAATGTGTCAGATGATATAGAACCTATGAGACACGTATACGGAAAGAGATAGCAGTCTATACAATTGCAATCTAATTAAACCAATTATTGATGTAAATTAAGTACTTCAATTTCGGTGCGCAACTATCTATGTATGTAACATCATTGATTTATACAGCGTGTCGTTACCATCGCGACAATAAATGAACACACGTCTAACGCTACTTGCCAATAATCATAAAAAGATATTAACGTTAAACAAAATACATAATTAAAAAAAAAATATTTTTCAAACAAACTAATTAAGTAAAAAGAAACAAAATTTGTAACATCCTATACAACTCGCGCCACAGCGTCGCATTACAAGCCTCTCCTTCTAACAGTATGTTTTTGTCTCTTTTAAATTCATTCAACCCATTCATATGCTTTGTGACCTTTACAAATGAACTTTACGTTACGCTTTTATAGATAAGGGTGTTCTAAAATTCTTTATTTTGGAAAATTTAATAACTCAGTAAATATTGATGTTTAAAGAATTTAAATGTTTAATACAACTTTAAAAAGTTATCCCCTATATGTGTGTTCATTTATTGTCGCGATGGTAACGACACGCTGTATATCAATGATGTTTAATAATATAAATGACACTGTGCGTCGTTTAAAAATTTTTACGCTTTACATTATATGACATATATAATCGAATGTGTCAGATGATATATAACGTATGAGAAACGTATACGGAAAGAGATAGCAGTCTATACAATTGCAATCTAATTAAACCAATTATTGATGTAAATTAAGTACTTCAATTTCGGTGCGCAACTATCTTTGTATGTAACATCATTGATTTATATAACACATTTTTACATTGTGTAACGTCATAACTGTGAGTAAATTATTTAAGCCCAAAGTAAATTTAAAGTATAAAGTAAAAAAAAAAAAGTAAAAAAGTTTTGTAAAGCGTAAAAAATCCTTATTTAATTTTTATGTTAAATAACTTAACCAGTCTCTTATATCCGCGATTGGTATGAGTACGTATGAGAACATCTCTCTAATATGAGATTTCATGGTGAGTGGATTAAAATAACACAGAGAGCCCTTGTCTCCTTTGTAACATATATGGATAACTTTTACCCACCTGCAGATTGTAAATAACTATAAACGATATAGTTATATGTAACGTGTAAATAAAAATTATTAATTAATTGTGAATTAGTTTATTTTTTATTTATTCTTATACTAAGTAACTATGTGTAAACAATGTTATACGATACCTCCGTTGTCTGACCGGGAAGGTAATACCGGATTACAATATTGGCCCAATGCCCGAACGAACAACGTCAAAGCTAATTAAACGTTGCCTCGTTAATTAACAGTCCGTTTCCTTCTCGTTAAATTAATTATCGGTGTTTATCTAAGGCAAATAGGTCTTCGGAAAACCTCGCCGTTAAATCCACCGCATTTTACCTATTTTGGTGACTTCTCTACTTTAATTTATAGTTTTTAAGAAAAAGAAGAGGAAGATATTGCCGGATTCTGACTTTCCACCCTAATGTGACGTCCGCGTGTTCAAGTCTGAAGTGAGACTGAAGTTTAATGAGCTTGTCCATTTACAACTATTTTTGGGTCTACGTGAGTCACTACGGCATATATTTAAGCAAATAATCTTTTTGACGCTCCCGTCGCTTTACATACTTGAGAACATCATGTATGTACGTAAGAATATCCACCTTTTTTCCAATCGCGTCGGGGTCGTGGTGACACTCTGGAAGTACCGAGGTTTAGATTGGCTAAAATAGAAAGTCGTTTTCTTGGAAGATGCATCAATTTTATAATAAAATAGGTGACATCCACAAACAAAAGTATAAACAATTTCAAACCAATTTTTAAAAGCCTGGCAAGGGCCTACTATAAATCCAAGAATACATTTAGGACAAGATGTTTGAAAATGACCCTTGCTCTGCACTTGCAAGACCCCTGGCTGCTGCTGATTTTATACCTAAATAAGTGTGTATAATTGCATCAAAAAAAAATAACAAAAAGAACAAGACCGCAGAGTTTCTTGCCGGTTCTTCTCTGTGCAGGTCTAGTTTAGTGAACCGGTGGTAGATTTTTTGTTGACGTTCAATAAGAGCTTAAGTTAGGCCTATATTGAATTAATATACTTTGACTTTGACAACCTTCGGTTCAATCAACACATGCATTTAGGTGGAGTGATCA